TGCTTTTCTGACTTGTGATGCTGGCTGGTTGTATTAGTGGTTCATTGAAGAGAGGAGGAAACTGAAGCCCAGGAGAATGAAGTGATTTGCTCAAGGGCTAGTTCACCAACTGGATTTCAAGTCATGCTGAAGTCCTAGGCTCTGGCCTCCAACCTCAGAGCACCCAGATGAACCTCCCTAATCACCTGAAGGCACCGAGCCTGGGAGAGTTGAACCCAGACTTCTCAGGAGAGCTGATTCTGTCTTGTCAGGCTGCAACCAGGGATAAATTAGGGCAGCTCTGCAAAGACTCCCTCTCCTTGTTAGTCAGCCCTGTCCAAAGAATAGCAGTGTCTGGACAAGCAGAGAATGATGGTTGCATTTAATGAGGGAGAGAATGGGAATGGAGTTCCACGGATATGGAGTGAAGGTGTGGAGCCAGAAGACCGAAGCTCAAGTCCTCAGAGCACGACTAATATTAAGGGTAACCTTGGACAGGTCACATGACCTTTCTCCTCAACTCTCTCATCTGCACAATGGGGATAAAAAGCAGATCTTATAGGATCGTTGAGATTAAATGACACAACCTTTGTGTCTGTGCTGTGTAAACTGTAGCATACTAATCAAACGGGAGTCGTTGTTAATAAAGACAGAAAGATTAGGCCAGTCCTCAGATTTCCTATCTTCAACAGAGATGTTTTTTATTCTACGTAAAGGACCATAAAAAGCCTTTTCAAACTGTGAAGCACTGTACACCTCAGAGGAATTGTTAGCGGGACTGAGGTTAGGGGTACGATCCATCATGGGAGGGAGCACGGCTGACCGAAGAGGGCAATGGCACTCATCTCCCCAGTTGCGTCCCCATAAAAGTGTTTGAGGAATGGCCCAATAACCTTGGCTGTCCTCTGGCCACTGAGCTGGCAACTCTCCTGAAGGTCTTCCGCAGGCAGATGTCCTACCAAGGAAACTGGGACCAGATGTACTCAAGATCTCAAAAGAAATTAATGGCAATAAGACTCTGGGGTAAAAATATCTGTGTGCACCGAGCTTGCTCACTCAGCTCCCTCTCTATCTGAAGATCATTTAGGCTTAATTATAGAGTTCAGGCGTTCATTGGGTTTTTGATTAATTTTCTTTTCAGCTTGAAGAGTGTGTGAGTGTAGTGGGTCTGTGTGTGTGTGTGTTTACATCTTTCTTTGCAACTCATTTGGGAGCTGGCTCTGGTAGTGTTTAATTGTGCCCTCCGTTCTAACAAGATAGTCCAATGTGCCAACTGGAGCTCGGAAAGCCATTGTGTCCACTGCCTCCACCCTATGGGCTGTTCCTGCCGTGATGAGGGATGGCGGGAGGCAGGGCCTTGCTTAGCTGGGCCCTTCACTGCGGGATGCATGCTCTCCTCCTCCTTTTGTGCTTATGGTGTTTAAGGGGTTCTGGGACCAGGAAAGCAGATTTCCTCTTCTACTAATTACCAGTGCTGTGCTGAGAGCTACCGAGTGACAGCTCACCCACACTGCAGCCCCTGACAGGCATTTTTCTGGGCCAATCTCCCTGGGGATTACAAGGTTCTCTGCATAAGAAACAGTGTTAGTTCTCTTATTTTTAATACATCCACTTAGTAGCTGGTAGGGACTACATGACTGTGGGTGAAAGTGACTTGGGATTTGGAGCTCAATGGCCCTGTTCGAATCCAGCTCCTGATATTTCCTGTTTGTGTGCCTATGAATAAGTCACTTGACCCCTCTGGATCTCACTTTATTGTACATAAAATGGGGAAAATAATACCAACAACAGTGTTGCATTTCTCATAAGAGTATCTGGGGATGAGAAAATGCATATGGAAGGAAGTCTTTGGTAAAATACTCCACAAATCATAATTCTTTTACTTTACTGCTCAGAATTGTTGCTTAGAACATGATTTTGACCTATGAGATATCATTCCTAGCACCAGGGACAGGGAGTTATAAAAAGGCCCATGGAATGGTAGGTGGAGAGAGACCAGCCACCCCTTCCCATGTGCTGTGGACCAAAGCACTGACCTGGAAATGTAAAATCCCAGTGCTGCAAAGGGCCCAGATAAAGAGCTCAATCTTGAAACAGCTGTCATGGATAAAAGGGAATCTGGAACATTCATTTTTTGACATAATTATAACAAAGATTTCACCCTATTTTTTAAAGGATGAATTTAATGGTCTCTCGTGCTATGAATGTTTCAGGAATGGAAACAAGGAGAGGACTGTGGGTCTCAGGTAAGTGTGACCATGTTGTGCTAGAGATTTGGGAGACCCAGGCTGTTCTCTTGGCTCTGTTGCTAATTAGGTCTGTGATCCTGAATAGATGAGATAATTTAACTCTCAGTTTCCTTGAGATCATGGAAGAAAAGATCTCAAAGGTGATTACATTTAAGATCTATGACCTGACAAAATGCTCTTTTCCACATGAGAATTAAAAACTCTGGTGTCACCAGAAACCATTGCATATGTGCATGTTCAGAATCCAAGTGTGGTCCTGAGACCTCCCAACTAAAACCTGATCAAGGCACTGAATGAACCCCTCTAAACTGATGGCATCTGGTATCAGACCCAAGGCCTCTCGGGGGAAGAAAAGCTGGGTGGGAGAACGGAGTGACTCCAGTAGAGATTTCAAGGTGAATTTTCTCTCGTTGGAGAGCCTTTCATTTGGCAATATCCTGACTAAGCTGAAAGGTAATGACCTAAGGATCAGAGAAAGAAAGGGATTGTTTCCTTGTAAAACCACTATAACTTTAAAATAATCGGCTGCAGGGCAATGGAGCATTCTGCCAGGCTCATTCCAGAACCGAGAGGCCCAACTGCAGAGCTCACAGTAGTATCACCAACAATAATCATAATGTATATTTGCCCAAGGGCTTTTAACTTTTACAAGCACTTTCCCCTCTATTTTTCTCATTTTAGTATTACATAAATTTCCAAAAAACTGGCTGGGTCATTTCTTTCCAAACTCTGAAAAGTGTATGACTTTTCAGCAGGAACAAGTCTAGCCAAGTATGACCGTTGGCTTTATACAGCTATGCCCTTGAAAAAGTTACATTATATGTAAACGTAACTGTAGAAGTGATCTTGTTTCAATGGCTGGGCAAGGGGTATTTAAAAACAGAAACCTTGTAGAGGATTTTGTAATTAAATGATCATTTTTACCAGCTGTTTGTTACAATTTTCATTTTTTAAATATCAGATTTTCTTAGGAGAGAACCACGTGGGTTAGATTCAAGGATCTGTTTCCTAGCATCCCATAAGGGTGGCATCTAATTCAATCAAAGGGAGAAGTTGTTTCAAATATCAGAGTGTAAAATAAGCAGCTTTATTTCAGCCATAAATATGCTCTTTGGAGCTCCCATAAAAAAACAAGGAAGCATGGGAAGGACAGATGTAACAGCTGAATTATTTTTAAATGGAATGTCTCCAGGTCTTCTGTGAGTCACTGATGTGTCATTAATGTGCTGTTATAAATAACTCAGCTTGCCATCAATAACTGATCTATAAGACAGTAGCTGGTGGTTGGGGTGTGAGGTTAACACTACACGGTTTCAAGTGGATCTATTAACCCTCTCTTGTAAATAAGCACCATCCCCTGGGACTAGAACCTGAAAGAAATTAGACTTCAATGCATTTTTAATAAAATTAATTTTTAAAAAGTCCACTTGCTTTTCCTTCTCCATCCTTAGACTCTGGTAGAAGTCATTGGAGCCAACCATAGGACTGCAATTATTACTGTGAACCTCAACTCTTTCACCTCTGAAATTAGGCTGCCAGTATTCATCCATAAAATCCACAATGATATTGTGACAGTTTTATAATTATTTTGCTTGGGGGATTTGGGTGATAGAAGCTAAGAGAGCTGGAAAAATTTTTACTGTAAAGACTGGAAACTCTTTAAAATGTTTGAGATTGGCCTAGCTAAAGGAAATATGGTCTCTCAGCCTTGATGGTTGGTTCTCAGCCACAGAGTCTTGCTTAATGTGCGCAGCTCAGATTTTCATTAAAGAGCTCTGAAGTTAAGCATTATGAAGCACTTTCTCACAAATGCTCATGCAGTTAAAGTTGAGCTTCTGTGAAATCGAGCTAAAATAAACACATATAGATATAAAGTGTACGTACTGGGCTACAAGTACATATGTAGGCACTGCTGGCAAAAGTGTTAGTTACGCTAGCTGCATCCTGACGTGTATGTTCGAATGTGTGCGTGTATAAACATATGTGTATTCTGTATGCTCACGTCATTCAGAAACTAAAAAAAGAAAAAAACCAAAAAGAATGAAAATAGTATTCTTATTTGTTAAAATGTTCTTGAAATCCTACATGGATTCCATGGTTTATAAACAATTATCTTTTTGTAAATTTAGGGCTGGAAATGGGGAACAGAATAGGCAGCTGTAAACAAAATCACAATTAAGGTTTCACTAAAAACATGGCAAAGGCCCCAAATATCATAGCTACTGCAGAATACAGGAACTATCTATCCAAATATTGTGATTAAAGATACTCTGAACAATCAGATTTTGAGAGGAAGTGGAACCTTTGAAAGTCACCATCTGTCTGTTCACATCAGAACCTTGGACAGCTCCAACGAGGCTCTCCTTCAGAATGGAGCACTTACCACTCTATCTCTAGTTTTTAAAGTGTACCTTTCATTCCACTGAGTATGTTGAAGATCTGATGTTCTGCTAATAAATTCACAGGTATTAATTTTTAATAACAACTTATTACTCCCTCTCCCCATTCTCTTCACCACCTTTCATTCCACCCCCTTCCCCAGTACCCTCCAGTCAGACAGTGGGACTGACTGTCTTACAAACACCTGGTGTGGATGTTTTCACTCCCACTTCTAATTGGTTGGGAAGCAGCATTTGCCACAGGCACTGTTTAATTTTGTTTCCATCCCCTGCATCTCACAGGAAAGCAATGGTCAATAGTTCAGATAAAAGAATCATCCTGGTCAGCTCCAAAATATGGCTACTTGCATGGTAATCACAGCAAGTCTGTCAAATCAGTGATTTCTTTATTCCTAAAAGGAAGGGAATTTTCCTAAGGATTATGGTTCTACCACCCAAGAAGCAGCCCTACTCTTCACAAGTGGCTGCAAAGGCTGGCAAACCGAGAGGTCTGCTTTGGCTCAGAAACTCAGTTTGGCTCCTGCCCCCCCGGCAACCTCACTGCGTGTCTCAGCATCATGTGCTTCACACACAGTCAGGTCCAGTCTGCTTCTACTTAGGAGGGATCACAACCAGAGGTGGCCCTCGCTTGGGTCTCCACATGAGGACCTGGGCATCGTTGGCATTGGGTTTCACTAGTGCATTGGGGGGGATGGGCTCCATCCGGCTCAGGATCCGGGGCTGCTCCTGCTGAGTCCTGCCCACTAGCCGGGCCCGTTGCCCCAAGAGCTGAAGAGGGTCCACCTCAATGTCCACTCTCATCCTCCACTTGATGGTCTGCAGAATGATCTTCTCCTTCGTGGTGGTGTTCATGGCCACCAGCCAGGTAGTGAAACTTTGGTCCCTCTTGATCCTTGTGAGCAGAGGCACATTGCTGTCACTCACTGGCACTGCCCACGTCACACTTGGGTAGAAGTTGTCATTCATGCTGACGGAGAACCTGGAGATCTTGTTGGTGGGACCAACCAGGGTCACAGTTTCTGTGGTGTTCCCGTACCAAGGGTAGCTCACCCCATCTGAGTCACTGATGGCTTTTACTCTCCCTTCCCTCAAGTCAGGTAGTTCCCAGCTTGACCTGGCAAAGCAGAGAGATGCACAAGAAAACAAGAGGCTGTATGAATTTTTCAAAAGCTGGAGAGGTGCCCACACTTACTAACACAGTCAACTTGGTCAAAATGGGAAGCTCAGAGGGGAATTCAGGTCAGAAAGTTCTATGCTTGTGCTGCTTTGGGATTAGATAGGGACAAATCGAAACAACACAAAGATAAAAAAAAAACAACACCAAAAAGTTAAATAAAATCATAGCTGGTTGCACTGGCAACAGGAAGCTCAAAGAGGCATCTGTGAGCCCCACAAAGAGGTATCAACTACTTGGGATGGTGGAATTGTAATCAGCTATTTAGAGTCACTCCATTGCAAGGACCACTTTCTTGGGAAGTATGAGTGTGTGTGTAAGGTTTGTTTGTTGGGAGGAAGTGGTTACAGTTTGATGTACTTGAAAGGAAGCATCAAGTGTAAAGGAGGGCAAAAGGAGGCCAAGTTAAGGGTTACACCAATTTCCCAGGAAATCACAGTCGTAGAATTTCTACTCAACAAAGAAGTTTGCTTAAATTCCAATCATTGGCTAATCCAGTACTTGGAAAACAGACATAGAAACTGATACACAGGAGATAATGGTCACCTTCTGGAAACCACCTCAAACCGAACATTATGCTGTAGGCTGGCACACATAGTCTCTAATGCACTATTCTCCCACTGACTTTAGGTCCAGACTGGAAGTCTAATTGCTTATTTTATTTTATTTTTCTTAAAGATTATTTTCATGTTTGTTTATGTTGGAGAGAGAGAGAGAGAGAGAGAGTGAGGGGTCATGACCTGAGCTCAACCCAAGAGTCAGATGCTCAACTAACTGAGCAACCTGGGCACTTCTAATTGCTTAGTTTAGCAAACGTACCATTCTGGGCATTTTGCTACTTCTCTTGGGTGCCCCAGACCTTAGTCCATGTCTCTTCCCCCTACTCCTCCTCCCCTCCTCTTCCTCCTCCTCCTTCTCATCACTACCACCATCATTGTCATAGCTGATACTTATTGAGGACTTGCTCTATTCCAACCACTGTGCTAAGTACTTTAACTATGTTATTTCAGTTAATACTCAAAATATCCCACAAGATAAATGAACTTCTATTTCCATTTTACACACGAGACAATAAAGGTTTAAAGATGTTAAAGTCCATATCATGGGTTCTACAGATGTAAGAGGTGGAATTAGGAGTTATTTGACTCCAGAGTTTATGCTTTTGACCACTATACCATACCACCTCCGGAAGTACCCCTTACATGGTTCTGGAGAAAGTCAGAGTGGAGGGGACTCTGGCTGTCTGTGTGCTTGCAGCTCCCAGGGCAGCCACAGGGAGCTGGATTGAATCCAAACAGAAGCAGAAATTAAGTCAGCAGAGCCTGGCTGTGAATTCTCCATATATCCACTCTGGGAGTAGGAATGATTCTTAGTAATATTGAGGAGAACTTTTTTTTTTTAGAGAGAGAGAACGGGGCAGAGGGAGAGAGAGTCTTTAAAAATTAATGTTTGTTTATATTTGAGAGAGAGATGGGGAGAGAGAAAGACAGAATGCAAGTGGGGAAGGGGCAGAGAGGGAGACACAGAATCTGAAGCAGGCTCCAGGCTCTGAGCTGTCAGCACAGAGCCCGACATGGGGCTCGAACTCATGAACTGTGACATTATGACCTGAGCCTAAGTCGGATGCTTAACCAACTTAATGAACCAACCACCTAGGCACCCCTATAAAGAGAATCTTAAGCAGGCTCCACGCTCAGCCTGGGATCATGATCTGACCCAAAACCAAGAGTCAGACACTCAATCGACTAAGCCACAGGAGCCCCAGAAGACCGTAATAATTAAAGAAGTAAATGAGATGCTCCACTCACCAGCTAAGTTCTTCCTTTTAGGAAGTGACAGAAGATCCTACAGGGCTTTATACAAATGGCTTAAGAGAGAGTTGCATTGTCAAGTTGACGCTGAAATGTCTCAGCATCTTTTACTGTCACACAGGGACATTGAGACAGTAACTACTGCCTCTGGCTGGCCCCCACAGCACTCCCAGTGTGGCTGCCTGGAATGAGAGTGAGCCCACAGCTGCAAGAACCATTTCTCTTGTCTACATGCCCTTGGTAACTGCTGGGAGTAACTGCAGTGTATCATGATTGGCAGAAATGAAGAAGGGGAAATGACCTTAAGTAGAAAGAGAGACCCCATTTTGCTGCACGTTCTGGGTGTAGCTGAGCCGAGGAGTAGCTCCCTGAAAATGCTGTTGCCATTTCTTACTGCACAAAAGAGAGTAAGAGCTGTTTGAGAAGGATATTTTCATATATGGGTCAGAGGTCAGGTGAAGCCCAATATGGGCTTATTGGGTTTCTGAAATGGCCACACTGGAGTCAGCTTCTTGCCTCCAGCCAAAGTGTGGAGATAATTAGTAAGTCATCAGGCATTTACTTCCTGTGTTGCCTCAACTCTGATCTGTTTAGGTCACAGTGATGTGACCAGTTTGGGTCTGTTCTAGTCTTTGTGGGACTAGAGGACAAGTCTTCTCATCAGTGAAAACTGTACTTAGTACAGTGAAAACTGTACTCATCAGTGAAAACTCTGATCTGCCACTGTGACAACTGTGGCAGATCAGTTGGGGGATTTGGTTTTTGGTTCTGTTATAACACTGTCCCTTTTAAGACTGGCTATCTTGCTGGTCGATTGAGATACTTTGTCTATAGAGTCTTCTCAGTTCATATTTTTTGCCCCTATCTTTCTGCCCGGAGCTATGTGAGCAGACTTAAGCCCAGGGTCTAGAGGTCAGTCAAGTGAGAAATTTACAAAGCTTAGTTTGGTCCCAGATGTTCTGCAAACAGAGATAATATAATAAGGCTGCACTCTTGTGCTTGTCTTGGGAGAAGAGGAATTCTGTGGAATAGAGAAAACAAGCTTCTTTTTTTTTTTTTAATTTTTTTTTTTTTTAAATTTATTTCTAGGAGAGAGACAGCGTGAACAGGGGAGGGTCAGAGAGAGAGGGAGTCACAGCCCCAGGGAGGGTTTGATTTTGGAAGTAGCCAAAATTCATTATGACTTAAATCTAGGGAGTAGGGAGTAGGTTTATTTTTTAAAAGAATCCTAGTTTTATTTCTTTTATGAAAAATAGGTACTAATGTGCATTCTAAGGTAGCGGATTTTTTTCCCCAAAAAGAGTTATGATGCATGATTGGTTTATATAGCTGATAAACTGGTTTGATAATGGTTTTCAAAGAAGTCCCTGATGTGTTTCAAAAGTGACAGTACCGTGAAGTCACTCTCTATTTTAGAGGGCTACTTTGAATGAATGCTGGAAGCACTTCAAATTCCACATGACCTAAAGTGAACTCACCACCTCCAGCATACACTTGGCCCCTTCTCCCATCTCTGCTGCTGGGGGTAACCCACTGCACACCCAGTCTTTGAGGCCAGAAATAAGGGCCATCTTCCTGTGCTCTCTCCTAGACTCTCTCAACTACCGCATCACTGCATCCTGTGAATTTTGCTCCATAAGTGATGCTTGAATTTATCTCCTTTCCTCCATCCAATTCTCACTGCCATCATTTAATCCACACCCTTAGCATCTTCCACCTGGTCTACTGGTAATGGTCCATAGCTGAGCCTCTCTGCATCCAACACTGATCCCTTTCAAATTCATCTTTTAGCTGCACTGGTGTTCAAACATACAGACACTATTCTGTCCTTTCTACACCTAACACCCTTCAAAGGTTCCTCTATATGGGCACCAATGGCATCATCCACATGATAAGATTCACATTCCTTAACATATGGTTCTCCATAGTCTGGCCTCCCCAGCTGGGAAACACCATGCTCTTTTCCACCTCTTCCTTTTTGCTCATGCCATGCCCACTGCCTGAAGCCCTCTTTCACCTGCCAAAGTCTCACTGGACCTAACTACTCATCTTTTGAGAATCATTACATGCATCACCTCCTCCAGAAAGTCTTCTCTTCCAAGCCCTCCTGGATATATCCAGCTCTTTACAAGTCCCATGTTATAATTATTTGTCTATGTGTCTGCTTTATCCATTAGATTATGATTTCCTTGAGACTTGGGATTGTGACTTATTTTTGAATCATTAGTATTTAGCACATTGTTGGCATATAGTAGATCTTAATATATTTTTGTTGAAAGAATATTTTATTTGAATCATTTTTCATGCTTATCTTTTATATATAAGCATCAAAATTTTTTATATCAAAAAATTTTTTAAATCACAGTTTTATACTTTATATATCCCCTTACATTAAAAAAAAACTAACATCTACCATTCATGTATTCCATTATTAGAATAGCACCACACTTAACACTGAAAGTTATTTATCCTTGAAGGGGAGGCAGACAAGCCACACAGAAATAAAATGAATGAATGCAAATGTATTTAGTGACCATTCATGCCATCATATACCTACATATAAAAATGAATGACACAGAGTTGGAATGAAACAGGAAGTTGGAGACATGGACATCCATGCAGGCTATAGGGGGAGGGATTTGTGGAGGAAATGGAGTTTGAGCAGTGAGGAACAAAGAAAGGCACACCCTGGAGGGAGGTTCCATCATGGGTAAACATGTGGCATTAAGCATGAACATGGAATGTCCAGAAACCACCCGGGAAGAGTAGAGACAAGGCTGGTCAGTCAGGGCAGTGTCAGTCTGGGAAGTGCCTTTGATAATGGGCTTAAGCACTGGGATTCATCCCAGGGATGATGGGACTTTTGAGCAAGAGATGATGTGCCAGGAAGGAGAATTAGAGAACCAAAGGGAGAGAACCAAGATGTTTAGGAGCTTTTATAGCATTCTAGGTGATCTTTAGTGAGGCTTTCATCTAGGCTGGCAGCTAGGAGAATGGAGAGGAAGGGCCACATAGAAGAGATACTGCAAAGGTAGATACACTGTGGCTTCAAAACTGATTGCCTATCAGAGACAAAAAGAGGGGATAAAGTAAAACAATCACTCAGTCATTCAGAAGAGCCAAGCACAG